GCAAGGAAAACTAGTGAAAACTCACTGTGGCCAGGATTGATACATCATTCAACATCGAAACGATGTTGAATGATTATCAATTCCCGAGATGATTATCACAATAGCCTCCAAATATAATAAATCAGGATGAGTGAATACTCACTCAAATCTAGGTGTGAAGCAAGTGGTACAGAGTAATAGCACATGACTATAGAATTGGGTAGTTGGAGATGATCATCTTGTCGTTTATCAACCCTTGTAACATGGTTAATATTCTATGTGCCGCCTCTGTGCACATAACTTTGTCATATACATTTGAAAAAATCTTCAGCGAAGATGTAGTTTACTTAAGATGAGGGAAAGTATAAGCCCTTGACATGGATACTTTTCCATGCCTTGTACTTTCACTCGAAGAATCGTCTTTATAAAAGACTTCGTTTCGGAATTTTGAGGTCAAGCTAATTCTTCAGCATGGTATAAATTTCAAGCTAGTTCGGGAATCATGATTCAAATTTACCAACAGAGGAGGGAGGGGCCCACCTTCTGAAGTTTGACCAGGGTGTGGTGTGGTGTGGCTCAGGCATGATGAAATTTCAGGCTCTGTGAAGGACAGCATCCTTGCAATCGAAGCAGGGAGTGCAGGAGAGGACAGAGAGGACACTGGAGAGCTTTTCCCATAATACAGTGGTACCACTCAACTAGCCACATAGTACGGCAGGAAAGGAAAATCTACAACACTCCATCATGAGCTAACCATGGTTAACCTCATTTCATGATCTCATTTTGATTCTGGACTCTGACCACGATGTGAAATTTGCACTTCAAAGCCCCCTTCATAAATCAAAAGAATAGGCATGCAATGGTTTTGTACAATACTGTAATCGAAGAAATTCCATTTACAGATAACAGGATGATATTGAACTCCATTCTCGTTTGTGCCTTTTAAATGGGAGAGTCATGGAATAAAAAGGGCGACGAAACCACATCAACGAGTGTGACGAACAAACCAAACGTAGGGTGCCCTACGAAAAAGTTCATGAGGCCCAAGTTAATATCAACAAGGAGAGAACGATAAATCTTTACATCTCCAACCAAGTTCTGATGTATCCAGCATAAATAATTAAATAAACAAGAGTGAAAACAAGACGTCTAGAGCAAGCATCACCAATCAAAGCTGGTATGTTTGTGCATGATCGACGTGGAACTACGAAAACATGACCAGAACACTCATGGCAGCGGGCTGAACAGGTCCAGTTCTGGCCCCGGGGTAATTAAATCTAATCGATTAGCCTTTGTAATTCTTTAAAATGGTAAAAAAAAAAAGCCCGTGGGACCCAAAAGTCATATAGAGTTTTCCCTATCCCATATATATTCCTATTACATTCTCTATTACTTTCCCTTTGATGCCATATTAAAGGGAAAGTAATCATGACTCTCGATGAACCACGGACCGAGTTGCAAACGAGATATGGTACGACCGTGCTCACTGGAAGCAATTTTTCAACCGGCTGAACAGGTCCCGTTCCATGCCCTGGATGGGGTACGACGAAGTGAACAACAGTACTGGAACTGAGTTCCTTCCGAGGACTGTGCCGTGCAGGGCAGGGCAGGGCAGGGCAGGCAATCGACCAGGTTTATAATGATATTGTGATGATCACTTAGCAAGGAACAAAGTCTGTCAGGGTCTACGCGACAGAGTCCAGGCTGGTTGGAATATTCGAATCTGCGTCCTCCTATCTGCTTAATCCTCAGGTGGTGCCTGTGGGCATTCCCATCGCATTCGTAGCGCATTCGAAACCCGTGAGCCAAAGTCAGGCAGGGGACTGGGTTGGAAAGCTAACCCTCCGTTGCTCGAGTTGGAGTAGACGGACTGAAGTGACGGAGAACGAGTACGTGCAGTTTTGACGTCACGGGGAGACGTCGACGAATCAGATTCGTGAAGAGAGTAGAGGAAAACGATGCGACTAAAAGTAGGCTTCCCTCGAAATGAGCTCATTAATTCGTAAATGGGTCCTCACTAATGGCAGACGCGAGATGTTTGCTTCAATTGGGCAACCACGGGCTCCAAAGCTCGCAGTGTCCGTCATTTCCACTCACTCGGCAGATGGAGAAAGAGTATTAAGCTTTATTTCCTTTCTACTAGACATGGTTGGACCGTTCTGAAAATACACTATTCCACCAACATAATTATTGCCTTCAGATGTGATACTGATGTTCTCGAGGGTTCACGCTTTATTAAAAAAATGGAAAATCCTATTATATACTAGAAATAAGATATCCAATGGAAATTCGGGCTAGGTTCAAATAATATCACAATTAGAAAGATATCATACTGGGTTTAGGGTTTTCTAAAGCATCATAATCATTTTACAAACTATCTAGCTGAAATAATCCACAAACAAAAAAGTAATCCAAATGACTTTCATCTCAAATGATTACTGTACTATGGAATGCGCAAGTTAGTGCTGTGAAAAACATATACTACACAAGAAAATAAAGAGATTGTTATATAGCGTCACATAGTTTAATAGCGTCACTTCCACTGCTACTAAACATGTGAAAGTTGGTGTTGATAACTCATTATCTTCTCAAACCTAGGGTAGCAAAAATTTGACATCTTTGCACACCCTATACTCAAATATATTGGTGAAAAATAATCCGTATAATAGAGAATTGGATATTGACAAAATAGATTAACATTCATGAAAATCCAGTTCAAAACATACCGAACAGTTCAGTTTGATTTCTACTCAAAATAATGGATCCAATATATCTAATCGCAACGATATCTATGAGCTAGATGGCTTCTTTTGATCAAGTTTTGAATTGCAAATTTTAGTTCACCTCCATCATGGCCGCAATGGAAGTGGAAGTGAATAGAATGTGTTGGTCTTAAGAGAAGTACTAATGATTGGAATATAGATGGAGAACAAGCTAATAGATTATTGTCTGACAGGGACGTGTTCTTTGTTTCTACTACGAAAACAAATAAAATATATGGCATTTGGTCACATGGAAGGACGCGAATTATAGCTGATGAATATGACATGATCAGGCTTATTTCTCTTATGGTAATGTGACTTACGCTGACAATTTGATGACAAATTCAAGAGGAACCAATAATCAAAGCATCTTTTATGAGATGAAAAATATTTTCAGTGTTTGAAGTCCCTGGGTTATGATGCAACAACACAACGCATCTCATGTAACACTCTCGGTCAAACTTATGATTCAAAATATGATAGTTGACATCATTGGATTTATCAAGATTACGTATTTGATGATCAAGTCAAAGCTTTAAAAGTGAAGGGACTTCGTAGACTAATTGGTGAAGATTTGAAATGAATTAGCAACTGTCAATTTTGTCTAGTCGACAGTGAGAAATTTTGAAAAAAGTTAAAACTAAAGAGGTGGTGTCAACATACGGCTGGGAAGATTGGAAGACTATAGCTGATGCGCACGAGGTTAACAAACACATGATGGTGTTTTCCGAACGATTTCTTGAAGTAATAGATAAATATTATCGGGACGCAAGCGTCAATTTTGATGTGAAAATGTAGTCAATGGTATGCATTAATATAAATAAAAAAAATGATGACGAAGACAAGTATATTTTATTGAAAAAACATAAGAGAATAATAATTCTAGCTATCGGATGTTAGAACATATCAATAGAAAACTATAAAAGTCGATGGCAAAAAAAAACGTCAAAGTATTGCAAAAAGATTTCGGAAAAGTCATGGATGTTAGAACATTTTTAAGGTAAAAAAGAAACCTAGATGGCAAAGAAAATGTGAAAATTTTGGAAGAAGATAATGAAAAAGTCATCAATGTTAATCATTCCAAGGCAAAAAAAAGAAACCTAGATGACAAAGAAATCATGAAAGTATATACTTTTTCTAGAAATTAAGATAATAGTCACGGTTGCAAGTGATTGCATTTTCTTTGACAAGTTTATGTTGACAACTCATGAACAAGCATCTTGTTGTGGCTTTGATCTAACATTGTTGATGGTGAAAATTTTTTATTTGATCGATTTCATATATTTTTGGTTTCAGATTTTGCAGATGAGCTTTCGTGTATAGCAAGGTTTCATATCACTTTTGTTGATCCATTATAGTATAACAATTGCATCAAAGAAAGAGACAACATGTATATGGTTCACTGTTCTTGAGGGTAAATTTATGGGAGAATACAAAATTACTTTATCAAAAATTCGTCATAGTGTGTTGTAATTACAGGTAGCCAGATCTTTAAGCTTAAACCTATCAACCTTGTGAATAGGAATATGGTCGAATGATTTGAAGCCTAATATTTACAAATGTTTATATTGCGTCTTGCTATTGTGAGAGAGTTTAAAACATAATGATATACACACGATTGATAATGTTTGAAGGTTGATTGATATACACACGATTTTACATATTGTTTTTGCGATACAATACAATTGTGACAGTTGTTTCGAGAATTAGTTTGATAAATATTTAGAAGAAACTAAACCTTCCTTAACAACCATACACCCAAACGTTTCTGGAACATAGTACTAAGATTTCGCTCCTCTGGGCACCCACCCTGATGGCGATAACTAACAAGAGGTATTATTGGAACAATAGCTTACACAACCGCTAGACGTGGCTGTCACACTCTCTAATCCTCCACAAAGTAGCCAAATTGGCATCAAATCGTAGTATAAAATAAAAAAAACGGTGCTCAGACGTTTTAGGCTTTTCGCATGGAAAAGTTGGGAATTTCTTAGGCGACGAGATGCCAGAATAAGTACGGCCTTTATGACAGATACTGGACCCTATCGAAATGGCCAATCACTGCATGACCGGCAACTGGAAGAGATCTGCCGGTGGACAAGGCGAAATGGCGGACCGCTGACACGATTCAGAACGAAAAGGAAAGCGAGCACTGGACAAGGGAACCCGTACCGGAGTACGGGCGGGGAACCCGAGTCAGGGCCCGGCAGACCGTGGTTAGGTTGATGAGTGGGAACCGGGGGAGCGACAGCTTGATTCGCGAGAAGAGGGACGAGGAGCGGGCGAGCATTTTCGGGAACAGCAAGACGCGATGGAGCGAGCGATGGACGAAAACAGAGAGAGAGATCGAGCAGACGAGACGAGACAGCGAAGAGCGGGCGGGCAGGCAGAGCGCGAGTGCTGACAGACGGGGAGTCACGGGGAGGAGGGAAGAAAGAGACGCATTTGTCGACAGATCGATCTGTGTCGGGGAAGGTCCGGGTCGAGCTATCGAAGCGGAGGGAGAGAGAGAAGAGAGAGAAGGGAGAGAGAGAGAGAGAGAGAGGGAGCGAGCGATCGACTGACTGATTCATTGATTGATCCGCAAGGGGGGGATGCAACGATGTACGTGGCATATGGATGGCCCAAGCTGCTACCGATCGCTGGCAGCCAGGAGCGATTGATTCACGTCAGTGTCTCCGGCTCTTTGCTTCTCCTCGTTTCGTCCTCCGACGTCCAAGTTTGGAGTGCCACTCAGGTTCCTCTCTCCTCCTCTCGCCCTCTCCTCCTCATTCTCTCAGTTTCGGGACCCTCGCACATTCGCGCTCCTCAGATCTGCCTCAGTTCTCGCGAAATTCTCCTTCTGCTCTATTTCCGCACGGATGTGCCTTCTCCGGCCCCTTAGTATGTCGTGCCGTGCCCTTAGACCCGTTACCGCCATAATCAACAATGGAGAACTGGAGAAGTCATGGCTGGATGCACCTCTATAATTTCCCAAACCCGAATGGCGCTGCAGTTGGTATATGCAGTTTTTAGGTGTGTTGGTCGAGTGTGGCCGCCATACAGCTGGCTCTATCCGAGTTCAATTTTCTCAGAGTCTATCCGTTTTTTGTCTTACCACAACATTCCTTCGTGACCAGCGAAGCTGAGCGCTGTCCCGAGAGACCGAACCTTTTAATAATATTGCCCGTGGAGACCTTCGAAACATTTCGTTAACTTAATTATTATGTGGAATTTACGCTTAAACTTTGAGAGCATGTAGCTCACCATTGTGAAAAGAGAGCCAGCCATGTGCATTATAGAACGATCGCAAGGAGACAATTCGAATTGTAACATGCATCCACAGTGTGGCAGGACGCCCTTTTACACTTCTGATAACTGCTAACCAAAACGTAGACGACTCAGAGCAACGCGTTTTATTCTTAACTTGTACGTTACACACTGACCTGATTATAGGGGCTGTTTTTATAAGAAGCGGACTCGAGACCTGAAATGAGTAAAACGGTCTCTGTCTCAAGCTCCTCCATCTCGGAGTGTTAGCACAGCGCGACATTGCACGATTCTAGGAACTTGCGCTATACCAAGCTGATAGTTATGAAATTGCATCTGTACCAATATCAGTACATGGGCGAATTTGATATTTCAGGTATCTCACGCCTGGGTGCTTGGAGCTGAAATCCAGTTTAAAGTCCATACATTTTAAACTATCATGTGAACTGGTACCAGAAAGTAGATTTGCAGCTACGTTACTGGAACTTCAAAGAACTGTTCAGTGACTTAGAGCTTTGTACATTCAGTTGGTATCATTTAAACTCCAAACTCCGTCTGCATTTCTCTGACCTTTCCTTCTAATCGTATGTCTTCTCCTCCTATACTTCGCATCCTTTGTTTTACAAACCAATGACTAAACGCCTAGCTACTACTAGTTTTCCATTTCTGTCTAAAGCAGGTGTGTGTTCTGACTTTTGTCCTCCATTTGCTTGTGAATCTTTGTGAAATTCAGTTATTGACATGGCACATTCGCACTATCCTTATAAGGTTTTTAAGTAAAGGAGTTGGTATTATGGTTGATTAATGCGGACTGTGTAATTTTGTGAATGTGCTCAGCATAGAACAAAATTAGGTCAGCTCGTGAGGGATCCAACATCTGTACAATACGAAGGAATAAATTTACAGGCGAAATGGAGCTCAGATTCAAGAACAGTCGTTGTTATGGTATGTTTCTGAAAACGAAAGACAGCACTTGATTGCTTGTCAGAATCTGCGTATTCTGTTATGCGTCATTTTTATATTGCATCACGTATGAGTTGGTACTCTGCATCGTCGTTCTTAAGACTAATTTGAGACACGGAGCTCTTTCGATTTATGTTTCTTCGCAAAAATGCTTTTTCTATTTTACTTGAACAAAATGTTTTGGACAACAGTTGTTTGCTCAGCAAGCTCGCGGAACTGAACGAAAAGCTTTGCCTTTTGCCACTATTGCAACTTATGCAAAGTAGGAAATTCAGCAGTGGAGATTCTAACTGTAGAGACGTTGGATCAATATTTTGCAGACCTCTGGATGTGTTCTACACTTTTATGACATATATCTTTTGGAGAAACAGCTTAAGCTTTCGGGGGAGGAAATCGGACTTCATTTGGTAGAAGTCCACCTCCGATCCACAGTAAATCTTGTGTCAACAGTCAACAGTGAAACAATATCTGTGTAAGGATCTTTTGATGTCTTGTTCCATCCTTTCTCTATAACATATCCATCAGTTTTCATTCCTTATTGAAGTTGCTTTCGCTTCTTTGTAATTCGACGTTCGCTTTAATTGTACTAATCTCACTTAATTCTAAAGCTAGGCAGTCCCATGGCTGAGGTCTACCATTTGATTCCGTACATATGATCTTGTTTTATGGTTGTGAATTTGTCATAAATCTGATTGAAGTGGTTGTGTAATGCAGGTGCTGTCTCACAGCCGATGACCGAAGCATAATAGTGGGACTCTCAGATGGCCGACTGCAGCTCGTTTCTTGGTCCGGAGAGGTACAACCTGATTTGCGTTAACAATCTTCAATATACTGAAATGTACATACCCCTTCTTGCAAGTATCCCACTTTTAGATGTGGTGATGTTATTCTCAGGGAGTAGTTGCAACCCGAAAGTGGAAGTAGTTATTAGATGCATATGGTTTAATTTATGATGGTGCATACCGATCGATATTAGTCTCATATGCAGCGCTGATGACAATCGTGCTTTGCAGTTACTTTCAACAGCCGAGCTACTTCAAGGTCCAGCATCAGCCAATGGATCAGTGTACATTCCCGAGACAAATGGTAGCCCGACTGTCGCAGTGCCTGCTCCTCTAGCACTTCATCCCTCGTTCTCGTCCTCCAATAGTCAGGCGATTGGAGAGAGTGGCTTTGGACAGTTGGAACTATCAAGTTCTTTACATTTACTTGTTGCAGTACTTACAGATGGATACGTCTTATTATGTTCCATCAACGAGAAAGGTCTTAGACAAGTTAGTGATATTATACCAGAAAAGTGGGTGGGTATTACTGATGCGGTGTGTGCCTCCGTTGCTCATCTTCAACAATTACTTGCGGTGGGATGCATGAGAGGCACAGTTGAACTTTTTAATCTCGCCGACAATGCGTTACCGCTCCGAACTATCTCTCTTTTTGACTGGGGGTAAGATTGTCGTTTTCCACTGCGGACGACTTGACTCTAAGGACAGTGATCAGTTCATGACGATTTATGTAAAAGTGTCATAAAATGTTTGTAGTGAGTTGTCCTTGGAAATGGATATGAAGATTGCGTTCCTCTCCCTTTTGGTGCTCCCTACAATGACAAGTTCTCTTTGTTTGCAGGTACTCCGTCGAAGACACAGGCCCAGTGAACTGCATCAGCTGGACCCCTGATAATTTTGCGTTCTCTGTAGGTTGGCAGCACAGGGGATTAGCTGTCTGGTCCGTTTCAGGTTGCCGATTGATGTGCACCATTCGGCAAGGCAGTCTGAGTAATGTCTTTTCCCCTTCATTTTCCATGTTCCATGGAACAGAGCTTTCAAGGAGTGAGCCTATGGTTGGAGGTGTGGCAGCCTCAGCCTGGGGCGAGCATGGCTACCAACTTTTTGCCGTGGAGCAGAGAAACGTTGCTAGGCTCATCGAGTTCCCATTTGCCAAGAGCTGCATCAGTCAAAATGTGGTTGGAGTTGCTCATGTATGGCAGCTCCTACAGGGTGAAGACCGAGTGCTTTTGGTTCAGTCCGATGAGGAGGATCAACTCAAAATTCAGCATCTTGTTCTTCCAGTATGATACTCACTTTTCTCATCGGTTTCACAGCCTGCAGGTTCTTTTTGGTGATAGTTAGAACCCTTTTGGAGTTCAAAAAGAGTACTTACTTTCACTGGGAGGTTTCCCGTAATGCTTCCAAGTTTCTCGCCTTTTAACTGACTCGTCTTCTCTTACTGTGCAGCTATCATACATCGGTGTGAACTGGCCTGTTTTGCACGTAGCGGCTAACGAGGATGGGACGTATCTTGCGATAGCAGGTCGACGAGGTGTCATACTTTACGATATGCAGTTAAAAAAGTGGCGGGTTTTTGGGGATGTGACCCAGGAGCGGCAAGTGCAGTGTGTAGGGTTGTTATGGGTTGGCAAGATAGTTGTAGTATGCAACTATCGAGAGTCGAGCAAATCGTAAGTTTGCTTGCATGGGGCTTTCTCTATCCTTCAAGTGTTGAATTTACGAGTGAACGTGGAGGTTGTTGTTGGTCCTTGCACACCTAAAATGGACCTATGGAAAGTGCAATTGGTTACTGAATTTGTGCCTTTGTCGGAGAATTCAGTTCACGATATTTGACTCATTGTTGGAAGAGTGAAGTATTCTGTCTAGAATGTTTCAGGCCTATTGAATTTCTGATCGAGTGGACGTTGTGTATGGATGCAGCTATGAGTTGAGTCTGTACCCAAGGTACCATCTCGATGAGACATCTCTGCTGTTCCGAAGGCAACTACCAGACAAGCCAATTGCCATGGATGTGTGGCAAGACTTCATTCTGGTCACATGTCCACCTTTTGATATAAACATCTTCCATGTGCACGTCCATGGCAACCTTTCTCCATTGAAACCCACAACTGTGCAGGTAAGTTAATAAGCGTTTCGTTGCTATATGCATTTTACTGGCGTCTAGGTAGGTGATATTGTAACTCTGACTACTTTCTGCATAACAGTGCTCACCGGGCTCTGCGTTGCTGGCTGTTGATTGAGGATTGATATATCGTAAAGCCCAAGATATTTTATTGATCGTTACGCAGACTAAATTTGAAAATACTTTTGCAGAGACAGCGCATCCGCCTGTTTTCAAACGTCCTTTCGTAATGGTATTCTTTTGACATATCTCACTCAGTTGTTTTGTTTGTATAGTTATTTCCAGTTCGAGAGCTTTCAATAATGAACGCGAGAAAACCTCCATTGGCCATGCATTTTTTGCCGAATGTTCCCGGTGAATGGGATCCTCCACCGTCATGTGATGGTTCATGTGGCGATGGATGGAGGGATGTAGCCGGGGAGGCTATACTAAGACAGCCCACAAGGTATGTCTAAAGCAGATCGGCTTGCGTTATTGAACAATTCGTCAGTCCTTTACTACCGCAAAAAGGCAATCTGTTAAAGGTAGTGATCTGATGCAGGTGCATGCTTCTACGCACAGATGGGGAGCTGTCTTTATTGGATCTAGATCGAGGAAGTGAACGAAGGCTTATTTCGGGAGTAGAGCGGTTTTGGTTGACATGTGGAAGGCCGAAGGAAGAAGCTGCTCTTATCAAAGAGGTGCCTTGGTGGGCATATGGACATCGTGGAATGCAAGTAGGGATATACGAACCTCATACATTTGATTTCTTCCTTGTGAAGTTTCCAAGGGTTGTTCCTCTTCTGTGAGAGAACTACTCTCATCTTAGCGAGGTGCTTCTTCCATTTCAGGTGTGGTATCCGTCTTCTCCTGCAGATTCAAGTCATGATGTTCAAGATGCTTGGGAGGTAAAACTTAACCCAATGCTCGGGGATGAATTACAGCTGCATGTGTATTATGTTCGAACTGCACATTTCACTGGTTCATCATGCATGCGTCAACCGCTTTATTTTTCTGTTATTCATCACGTGTGCAGCTAGATCCAGAGCTGGATTTCGATCGCGAAGTCTATCCTCTTGGTTTGTGTCCCGGTTCGGGGGTTATTGTGGGTATTGCTCAAAGGCTGTCGCTCTCAGCCTGTGCCGCCATGCCCTGCTTTGAGCCTACCCCGCAGGCGCAGCCCATTTTGCCATGTTTGCTACGCCACTTACTGCAGGTGCGGATTGCAAGAATAAATATAACTTCACATTATGTCTAAGCGACATGCGTTCTTTACATGAAATATCTGGTGTTCGTATGCTTATCTGGTATCTACATGCTCATCTTACATCAGTTGAGCTTTCATTTTCTGTATGGCATATTTATGGTGGTAGTATTGTATACCACTTGTTCAAGTATTCATACCTGTCTTACGTTTGCGGTGTACTTCGCAGAGGGACAAAGCGGAGGAAGCGTTACAACTTGCAAGATTATCGTGTGGCAGACCTCACTTCTCGCATTCACTGGAGTGGCTGCTTTTCACTGTCTTTGACGCTGCTGTGTCAAGGTGGGCTTTAAAAGACGTCGCATTCTGCAGTGTTCATATCTAGCAACAGGAGCAAGAAGAGTAGTCTCCATGACCAGTGTAGAGGCGGGATTAGAACTTCAAATTGAGCGGATTTCTTCCGGATGTTCGTTTCCCGTCGAAGCCGAGTTGACTGGACACATCCAAAAGAATGTTATAAACACCCAGTGTCTTCAAAATGAGATTAACAAGCTTCGGTTGGAATATGTTGAGTTTTTGCAGTCAGTATGTGAATAGGAAAAGAGGCAAAGTCAGCGCTACGGCGTCTCGGCTGTTGCATCAAGTCTGCATTTTGGTTCGACATTTTCCCGAATATTTGGATGTTGTCGTGAGCGTTGCAAGGAAAACCGATGGGCGTCACTGGTCTGAGTTGTTTGAAGCTGCTGGCAAGTCTACAGAGTAAGTTGAATTTGAAGCAGATACTCGGTCAATGTATAAAACGTTTGGAATGCATGTCCCCTTCATGGCTTTCAAAAGCTTGAAGAGGATTGAGGAGGCAATAGCTCTACTTATGGTGCTTAGATATAGAAATTACGATGTATTTATTCGAACGTTTGGGCAATCTTTTTTAAGTTGTTTGTTAATTTGAAATGTTATTGCAGCGCTAAGCACCTCCGCATGTGAATAACTGATTTTCTCACGCAGGCTATTTGAAGAATGTTTCCAAAAAGGCTCTTACCGCACGGCAGCTTGTTACATACTGGTTAGTTCTTGTGACATGGATTCAAAGCTTTTGTTAGTTGGATAGACTGGAAATTAGTTAGATGTTGCTTTATATGTTGACAAGTGTCTGTTAAGTGTAGAAGCCATTCCGCATATTAGAATATCTCTGCCCGCAGGAACTTTGAGGGAGTCGCTTTTTTGTCGGATTGTGACATATGCAGTGTATACAATACAGCATTATCTGGGACATATTTAAGTTTATTTCTGGTTTGCAGTACAGTTGGTTGATGTTTCAGTTTGGTTTATGAGTTTTCTCCTTGGTATCAATAGGTGATTCAAAAGTTGGAGGGACCCACGATAAGTCAACAAAGTGCTGTACGCTTGCTCAAGGTATTCCTGCTCATGCTAATAAAAACTTTACTCACTTAGTTACTTAGTTTTGCCTCTCATGACTGGAAAGCCATGAAGCGCACCTTTGCTGGGCGGTGTAATCAATTGCTTTTGAAATAGATGAATGAACGATAGGATGAACAAAACGTGATTCGTACTCATACATTTCAATGGTATGACAGGCAACGCTGGAGGTCTCACTGTATGAGCTTGCGGGAGAACTGGTAAACCACAAAAATTATACAAGGATTTTGAAGATAGCATATAGGCACTGTTGTCTCAAGTTTTGCTTTTGATTTGATACTTAATTTGACTCAGTTCTTTCCTACTAAGCAATTGTCACATGCTTGTTACATTTTGGAATAAGTGTCCAATTCACGCCTGAAGTTACATCCAAGTCATACCTTTAGCTTCCAAAGGTTAAGCTACTTGCAATGAATAAACTTTGCAGTGTCGGTTTCTTCTTCGAGCCGGACGAGAGTATGAAGCAGACAAGGAAGCTGAACGGAATATCTTTTCAGCGTTCTTCCTCGGGTTAAGTTCGCCGTAGGTTCACTCACTGTGAGCCTATTTATGTATTTTCTTTAATGTTGCCAGGGGAGGAATTTTATGTTGTGTTGAATTCACAAAGCTGGATGCTTGTCATGCTGTGTTGTTGTTCGGCAAACTAGTGTTGAATTTGCATACCTGATTGAACAATATTTCGGACTTAAAACTACCTGCGATCCCATCCGTAGATATTATTGCTTATGGGCTGTCTCTTCTTTGTCAGCAGTACCAGTCCTGCTATGGGTGACGATATGCACCATGCGACCGTAAAGCATATTCTTGAGAAGCACGCGGCTCATCTTATGGAATTGAAGGAACTTCAAGAACTTGTGACCTTCGCCAGGGGGACCCAATTTGATATCACAGTAAGCTTAGATAGTTAGCACTCATCTACTCATGAACGTGTTTTGAAGACTTAGTCCTCGTTCTCAGATTCAAGAGTTTCTTCACGTATGTACTCTTTTGTTCATTCTTGCGTCATATCTTTGTAGGACTTCCTGAAATCAGAGAAGGGTAAGTCAGCCCGACTGGAGGACTTTTCTTCGGCGCTTCGGATCATTGGCCAAAAGGTAAGTTTTGTAGGAACACCTCAGGCTGGTTGCATGGGTGAAAACTGGAATCGATGTTTTATGTAGTCAAGAAGTCCTTTTTTGCGCATTCCGTTGTATTGTGGTAGTTGTAGCTGATTAATCTGTATATGGGTGATCATAGCTGGATATGGATGTGGCGGAAAGTCGACAAGATGCTGAATTTCTTTTGGGTCATATGAAAGCTGTGGGATTTAAAGAGTGGGTCGTGGTTCTCGCTACTCTACTGCGGCTTCCAGAGGTAACATATACAGGCTTAGATTCTCTTTATTTCTTTCCATGTAGATTCTGCATCACGTCTAGATCACACTGCCCAGCTTAATTCTGTCTCTTCTTTTGACGGCGTTATCTGATACATTTTTCCTTTAGATTTTGCTGGAGCTCTTCCGGGGAGATGCACGATTGTGGGAAGCCTACAGCAAGACTTTACAGGTTGGTCTTTTTGAACGCTGAATGTAACAGTTCTTATCGCCCATATCTGAGTATCCAATTCTAAATTGTGTCATGCTGGCTGTCATCTGAACCATGCTAGTCCCTAGTTTATGAATGAACTCCTCATGATCAAGTTTAGATCAACCCAAATGACTCGAGATTCTTCAGAAATGTGAAGATTAATCATTTGCAGAATCTACATATTGAACTCCCTGTAGAGCTGTAATTTCTTTGACTTCCTAGATGATTAGCCTACTTCCTATTTCACTGAGATTCGGACCCCTTCAGGTGGTTTCTAAAGATCTAAGTAATGAAAGAATAACCGACAAAGTTCTACTTCTTGACTGGTATTTATATGAACTGTTTATGTGAACATTATTCTAACGTTCCTTTGGGTTCTTCCATTGGCTTGGGCAATCCGAATGGTCAAAAGCAATCATTTGAAGTTTTCATTTTATGTTCAGTTTGTTCGTTTTTAGGTCAGCTTAACGACCTGATCAATGAAGGAATGCAGAACAATCATGAATTCGTTACTTTTGTAATTATAAATTTAGTCAAACTTGAATCCATGCATTATCTTTTATTCGATGCTTTCGCGAGTCCCACTCGACAAAGCGGCCCTTGGTCACGAGGAGTTTGTAGGTAAAGCCACAGGTGAAGAGACCGTCTGTGTGAGTTGTTTAGAAGGCTCTTCGGCAGGGGCTTAGCCAAGCAACAAACGAGAACAACGAAGATGTATTGCTGATATAGTTTTGATAAATTTCCAGCAGAGGTAGTAAATGTTCTAAATCCCAGATATCTCATATTTCAACAGAGTGTCTGTTGAGATAGACTGAACCATTTTTCTCTGGACTGGTATATAGTAAAACCTCCGTTTGTAAAGGTTGGGATCTTTGGAACATTGTCTATTTTTATTTTTTTGGAGACAAAGCGATGAGGACCACCGGTGTACTTCTGAAAGAGGTAGTACAGCTGAAAGCCTTTGGCGCTGTGGTCTCCATCTTCACAAATGCCCCCAGTGAGCCTCCTCGAAGATCTAGGCAATAGGAAGCCCATCTGGAGAAGGCAGATTCATCATATCCCACTTCATCGTACGCCGTGGGTTTAACCATTGTTGAATCCTGTACACGCCATAGTGAAGGCAACAAGATTGCTATTGGGGTCCGTAATTTTGAGATCGAAAGTGTTTAGAAAAGCAGAGCAGAAATTGTGAGATTGGAAATGCTTCTCTCGCTATCCACGATATACTTCAGACCTTGGAATTGAGTATAGAAATCAGGTAATCCACGAGAGATATCGTCAAGGGTTCTTCTTGACTTAAGTAGTATATTTACGCCGTTAGTGATTCACATTCACCAGCGGCTTGAATGTCTATCGGCCACGAGAAGAGCGAGACCACGCCACGATGTGGACACTGTCACTCAAAAACTACGAGACCTGTGTCGAGAATCTGCTCGAGTGCATCTTTTGTGATACTACGAACTACACCATATCACACCCTCTCTCCGCGGGTGGAATGAGTCCTCCTTTTAGACTTACCCTGGATTTAAAGCTTAATGTGGCCGTTTTTTGAGTAATATTCTCCACGGACGTGCTTGCTTAAGGTGTCTTGGTTTCCTCGAACTAACTTCTTAATTAGAAATAATATATATTAGTATAAGAAAAGGAATAAGAATAAGAATTAGTATCACTCAAACCCTCGCTATCAAATTATTGCTTCCATCTTTCCTCCTTGCTTCTTCAAGTTTTCTTACTCGCATCTTTTGTTATTACCACTGTCCTGCTACTCGCGGCGTCTATGGTGTTCAGACTTTGCCAGTGCGAGCCCAGTCTATATTCCTATTGTTCCTTGGCCACTTCAATTGGTTGAGAGCAACTTAGTTTTTCTGTTCATAGGTTCGTACTGTTTGAGGTTAGTTGATATCACCTATGCGAAAGGACTGCCCAATTAATGTGGATTTTCTATCCACATATACTTAACTTTGATCATTCTTTATCTTTTGTGTTTAGTCTCCAATTTTATTGATTGATATCGCCATTCCGAGGATCTTAAGCAGCCACGTGTTACGAGCAGTCTATAAAAACCAAATGAAATGACTTTTGGCTTCTCTGTGCTTTTCTGTATTTTCTTTATATTTGAATATAATCGTGTGCTAATACTCCCCCTTATTCCTCTCATATCTAGATAGGCACTTAAAGACGTTGTTAACAACGTAATAGCTTTTTGCTTCTGCAGAGTCAGGAAAACTTTTTGGAGTACGAGGATTTCTTATCGACTTTGGAGCAAGACCTTGCAATCACGAGAGAAACTTCGGAAAGTGAATGAAGGGAGAGGTCAAAAATCATATTCATTGCTCAAGCAACTCACACTGATTGGCTCCTCCGTCCTAAATGACACCTTGCTCTGTTTCGGAATCCTATCCCCTTGGAAAGAAATATGCCAATCCTCTCCTGTTCTGACATCAGAGTCAGTCCAATGGCACGCCATGTAACTATATTACAAAAGTCACTCGAGAAGCCAGCGAAACCGAAGGGCGCCATGATTCTACTCCAATTTATCACATCAAAATACTCTGGCTGACGTAAACAATGGAGTAGTGGCTGGTCGAAAAGGAGATGGAACAGTCTTGCAGTATGAGGAGGTGTCACGTTAAGGGTATGAGTGAGCTGAGGTTTGCATCCCCTGCCCTGCATCGTGTACAGCAGGTAAGAGTCTTAGTGTCTTCAATTTTGTATCTGCCCACGCATAGTACTCCATGGCCAGTTCTATGTCTAGATTCTTTTACTCTTAAAAAGTGACCGGCCATCCATTCTTTGGTCTTGTATCTGTAACGCGGGACAAGATCTTCCAGTGTTATCAGCAAATCTTAATAAAGTCATCCTTTCTCGAACTCTGAGTACGTCCCAGCACAAGTTGTCAACGTCTGTTGTTTCTGTGCTCCACCCTGCTATCAACAGACGTGCCAGCGTCATGGACTTGCTTATCATCAGGTGGGCTTCAGCCGTTCACCTCCTTTGAATCACAATTTAAGACACGATCAGTATTCAGTGACTCATGGCTGGGAGTTAAAGTTTCGTTCTTCTGCCCAGTTGACTCTCTACTCCTACTAGGCCCGGTGTTTGCTTCTGTGACTTCTTCCGCATTCGTTGTCAGTGCTTAGATTAAGTTAAAATTATTACATCTTTTAAAGAACCTGGTGCGAAGAAGTGAAGTATAAGTTCATAATTTGTAAGTATTCAAATCGAACAAAGTCTGTACAAATCAAAGTGCATGTGTCATGTATGTTTATCCGCGAGCCAAATCTGGACGAATCTTGAGATATTACCTGCAGATTTCTCTACGAGTCGATCAAAGTTCAGATCTTTCTTCATCAAATCGTAACTAGGACTTTCCAAAGCAGTCCCGGTATAAACCCTGACGTTGCGAAATCGTTCCCAAAACATACAATGAATTATATTGTCCGTAGCTTAGATATACCCAAAGTTTATGTCAATATAATGAGTGGCTGGAATGGAGAGACGCTTGAATAATATTTTATTTTACTTCATCATATGCAAGCAAAAAAATTACTGCGAATATCTGGAAGTAGCCAATAAAAAGTAAAGAGAATTCTTCCTTGAATGCGAGCAGTTTCATATCATGGAGATAGTGTGGTATGTTTTACTGGAGTTAAAGCATGTCAGGTGTAGTGAAACAAGTGTTACAAAGGTTCAATGCTTGAGTTGTGATTGGAGCGGTAACTGTCAAAGGTCTTTCAGTGTAGATGTATGTAGAGAAGTTGATGGAAAATTCCTTGGGTATATAGAGATACAAATTCAAAATTCTTTTTGGTTAGAATGTGGTCTAAGTCTTATGATATAAGTCGCAGTCTCATCATTTTCTTTAGTTTAATATGTAGTATGTTAAAAACAAACTCTTGTTTAGAGAAGCTAGTTAATGTTATACATGAACGAACAATATGCATCATAAATGATTTTTCTTTGGATGCTATCATTTGTAAACGAATTCAAGTGGCAAGATATTTTATGTGCAAGACATGTTCCCATTTGGAATTATTGTCATGTATCCATTGCTATTAGTTTCGTGTTATCTCTATTGCAAAGAGATGGAGTATTACAGTCCTTTTTGCTGTTTACTTTGATCTCCCTTTTCCCTTTTGCACGTGGACCCGTACTTCATAAGATTTAAGATGTTCATAACATTCACTCTTTACATAACAGTTTCTGATCATACAAATTAGTCATAGGATATTGAGCAAATGTGGATAGCTTTTCTTCAGAAATATGAAATCTGTTAATCCACTGGCAGCTGATGCAAGGAAAACCATGCCATCGTCATAAAAGAATCTATCAAAAAAGTGGTAGAAGTTTGGACCTTGCATGACGTTCATAATGATCAATCGGTGCTCATGACATGAGGGAGGGCAAGGAGTTGGGTCCACCAAATATCATGGAGTATGTTCTCATGGCACTCTTGCACATTTGTTGCAGTGAGCATCACCTTGGAACGGCTTTTCCGCACCGCTGATAGCAACACGTGCGATATCACTGTCTTTTCTGGGGTAGAATCCACCACGACAAATGTTAGGAAAAAAAGCTAAAGGTTCATATCTTCCACTGGAACTTTTGATTTTGGTTCATTCCCAGCAGTAGGTGTGACTCTTCCACGAACGCAAACGTTCATGGCTGCTTTTTGGATACTCTGCATGCATATCCGAAATCATTGCGCATTTCAAGCAGAAGTAGCAAGGCATTAAGCTTTATGTGGATTGATTTGTATGTACCTCATCGAACCTTTTTGGCTGAAAAATATGGCAAGATGTAGGTACCGATTTTTATTTTAGTAGACGAAGGTGGTCAAAAACTCGCCAAGCTCGATGATTGGATGCTCATGTGCAAGAGATGTTTTTTTAGGTTTCCCATGATACTTGTTTCTGTTTCTCTCACTATCTTTCTTTCCAGTTGTCGGTAGTGATCATTGTTGGCTTCGAAAACGAACCAACTACAAACTTCGTACTGTTTCATGTGAATCATGGATCTACGGTTTCGTCCGGAAAATTACTACATATCCATGAGCAGCATGAACCTTGAATATTTGACATAATTTGAAGCATCGAATTACCTGAATGCTGAAGTAAAGTTTGACAACTGGAGAACAAGAAAACAACCATTTCACAAAATTTCGTTGTGTAAGAATTTAACAAAACGTACTCCCAAATGACAAGCTTTGTTACTACTCGAACAAAATATTTCCACATTTCAAAATTCATTTATTCATCAAGCAATTATTGCAGCCTTGTCTATACTTACAACTATATCTTGAATATCGACAATCATTTCCAATATACAAGAAGAGTATGGGTTTGAGTTTTTTTTATTTAGACAATTTTTTTAATACAAATTTTATGATATTCCACATTTTGAAAAATGAAACTTGACAGATTATATAAATCTTATGGATTGCAAAATTTATATAAAAAACTAAACTCACCACATAGCAAAATCATTGCCATGTAAAAATTGCATAGAGCTATTTGTAGAAAAAAATTAAATTTTTTTCTAAGAGAATTAGAGTGTATTCATAAAAGATAATTTTGTAAAAGAAATGTAACTAAAATGGAATTAATTTAAAAAAATTAAGTACATAATGGATGAAAAAACAATTATTTTTGTGAAAAATTTAGATTATATAAAATTCAATGCATAAGATGTGATTTTTTTGAAAGTGAATATCTTCTAAATATATACATGTATAATATTATGAAAATTTCAGAAATACTGTTTTGCTTAACTAAACAACATAAAGGTTTTTTATGTACTGCATAAAAACTATTGTATGCAGTACGAGTAATATTATCATCAAACTTTTATAATCAATCAATAATGTGCTGGTTACAATATGTATACATCTAAACTTATATGATTCATTAATATTTTGTTGAAAAACGGCTAAAATCTATAATAGCTCATTCTTATAACTTAGACTAGTTAAAGATTGAAGTGCTCAATAAATTATAATGAATGATTGATTTCTTTCTGGTCGACGGAATGGAAGACTCAAAATTACAAATAAAATCGACTTATTAAATCTAGTAGTGTAACTATAATTGATTAAGAAACGTAGCCTGTATACTGCTAACAATGAACTCTCCAATATAAATTTATTTATTTCCCTTTTTCACGGACGTAACCGTGAATAGTTCAACCGTGAAGACAGTGTGTGAATGCTCGTAAACACCTCGGGGCTTTAATCTCAATTCTGCAGACACACAGGAACAAGGTGCACACAGCTTCCTGAATGCTGAAGCAAGAGAGGGAGGCCAAGTATTTAGCAAAAACCCTCAAGGATGCAAGTCAAACGCTCACGGGGAGTAAGCTACATTTGACTCCAAATCTGCACCCAGACCAGACCATAACCATCAGCAGCGACCCAAGCCCACCCATCGCATTACCTGTGCTCACCCCACGCTATTCAAATTACACCAATTCTTGGTTGGATCTTGACAAACACTACCCTTAGTATTACTTGTGCCCACCCGTGGAAAAGTAATATCTCCCAAAACCCATGGGCATGGTGGGTTTGGGCATCGGCACCCAATGTTGGGCTCTGGTAAGTCCCAAGCACTTTCCCACTTCGGGAGAGCTTCCTTTTCGGAAGTAATTGCGACTTGCCGTGACTCCTGTAGACTTTGCTTGCGGTTGATGAAGTGTACTTCCACGTGGCAGAATATGGTACGTCCAACTGAAACCCGTCAAATGGGGCCCACAATTTCGACATTTTTCTTCCTCTGTTCTTTATCTTTATGTCCATCTGCTATTTATAATTCTGTCCTTTTGCATAGAGTAGTATGTATCGTAACTTCTTGTGGTCGACAAACGGGAATATGTATGTGTTTACAAGAACCAGCGAGTAGTATAGCAAAATGTATGGGAAGATTTTGTCAAGTTTCACATATATGACCATTGGGATAGGTTTTCATAATATCGATGTGACTTATTGGACCTTAGATACACAAAAACATGAAAGTCTTGTATCCGTCTTTTAACAACTTTGGTCTCTTACGATGTCTACTGACAAGAAAAATATCTTTTTGAAAATTTTTACATCATGTAACACTAAATATGATATCCTTATCATATAATCTGATGTCTTACATTCTCACAGGTGAATCGAAGCTGCCATGTATAGCTCAATAGAACTCAAAACTAGAGTAACAAAGATATGATGTCTTGGAGAACCCTTTACTTGAGCAACTTTAGTTGTTGGTGTTGAAAATCTAAGATAGTACCCATTTCCATCAAAATCAAAACGACATTTTTGATGATAAAAATCAATATACACTATGAACCACACATGCACTAGAGCAACTCCTTGAGGTTAAATCCACAAGAACTCTATGGTGCACAATTGTTTTCAAAAAATCAAAAAAAATTGTGCACCACAAATTTTTTGATTTTTTGCATAAAGAAGTAAAGTTGGAGTATATTGGATGTAGAACTTATACATATAGGTTAACAGCCGTAGAAGTTAAAAGATTTAATGATATTGGATAACCAATAGAAAGTGAGATAGAATTTGCCTTCGGCCGAAGATCCTTGGATCTTCGTCGCAGCCATCTTCGGCAATGTAATAGATGGATCTTTGGCAAAAACGACTTGTCACAATTCAAATTTGTCAAAGGCAACACAAGAACTTCTCACATTGCAAGTGCCAATTCGCACGTGTGAAGACCGTTAGGGCGTCGAGGGTAACGGCACGAAGCGGGCACGTTGCGCCGACATTGTGTGAGAGCGAGACTTGCAATCGGGAGCATCAAAGAGTACACGGCAGGAGACATGGCATGATCTAGGAAAGCCGCAATACCAAAGTTGATTCCGCTCAAGGTGCCCAAT